TCATAGACTGACACAATGCATGTTGACATGTGTAGGGATGGGAGCTTTGTTCAAGGTTTGTGATGCTGAGGCAGTGCACTTCAGGTAACAACTTTTCGTAGTGCAGAGAAGTGTGTACCTCTCTGAAATACATTTTCAGGTAAGGAAAGTGTTAACTTTAAAATATTTTTTTTATAAAATAATCTTTCCAAGTGAAGTAATTATTGTTGTTGCTTACGAGGTGAAAAAATAAACCAGTAAAAGAAAATTAAGTGGTTATGAAACAGTTGATGTACTTAGTTTTATGTAAGCTAAACCATATGTATATGTTGTGTATGTTTGAATTTTGTTCAAGAAAATGTAGCATGAAAATATGTATATTTTATATGCTAATTAAACCATGTATGTTAACTATACTTTGATGCATATATCTAGAGCTGGGTGATTTAATTCAACATAATTGATTACCTCTGAGTGTCGATTACATTTATTAGTGTCATATAAACTGAATCAAAATTACAGTTAAATCAGTTAAAATTAATGATTCTGATTATTACTGTTTTCTATTATTTCAACAACCAATTAATAAAACTAATTATTAAATCAATTATGAGGAACACAACTAATTGAAATTGTGGTTTCTGATTATTACTATTTTTTATTATTCCTAGTAATTAAAGTATTGCCACCAAACTTACTCACCTTATATGGCAAAGCTGCTATGTCTATCTGACATTGTCACTAATATTTAACTGCTGACTATAAGTAAGACATTAGTTGCAGCAAACTGTTTTGTCTATTTATTTATTGGTGAACTGCTGACTAGAAGGAAGGAAAACTTTGGTAACACCAGCCATCAACCTTTTTTAAACTTTTTTTTTACTTGCATTTACCATGATTGGAGGAACACTATGCTAATCGATTAATGGTTCCTTTGATTAATCAATTAGCAAATACCACTAATCACCCAGGTCTGCATATGTCCACCTATTATGTTTCTTTGTATAGTGTTCTAGCAGTACATTCTGATTTAATGTTGTAGTAATCAAAGTAATGTAATATTACAGTTTTTGCACTTTTATAGCAAACTTTTGTTTTCTTTATTGTTATAGATTTTTAGAAACATTGTATTATTCTGTGATGTAGGTATTTGTTTGTAATTCTCTGTGATTGTATAATACAAGTTTAGCTGACAAGTATCTTGTTGTTGTATTAGGGTAATATTTACTTGTTAGTAAGTACAACATTAGCTTGCTGAAGAATACATAAAAAAAGTCTTGAAAGAAACTCTAAGCCTATTAAAAAAGATAATTTAGGAGTCATGTTAGTTTTAGAGGTGTTTTCTTTTTGTCATGTCTACCTATCTGTATGTGGTTTCCATCCAGAGTTACACACAGCTGATTGTGTGTTCACTGGCTACAACAAGGTCTTCTGTTGTGCATGGAACCTGGAGTTGTGGGCAGATGAGTAGATGTTGCATTGTCTACTTATCACTGTATTCACAGGAAGTGGGTCTCCCAGACCTGTGGACTTGGAATTGTAGGCAATTGAGGGCTTTTCAGGTACTTTAGTCCTTTTCAGCTCCTCTGGAAAGATTCTTGGCTGGTGTGATGCCCATACTCATGTGAAGAACTAGGGAGACTCCCCTCCAAGTATAGTGTCCAGTGGTTCAGTTGAACTACAGAAACTATTCAAGATCAGGTACTTCTTTACTTCCATGTGGTCATGTATAGGGTGTCCTTTTGTCTGCTGAGTTTGTTCTGCTCTCCTGATGTCTGGTGGGGCAACTCCAGCCAGCATTCACAGGCTGTTTGTAATGGCTGGCTTTAAGCAGCCTGTGATGAGGTGTCAATAGTTTGTAAGTAATTTGTTACTGCTCAGATACTGTTTAGGCTTAGTAATAAATTAGACTAGCATTCAGGTATCATTTAGTTTTAGACTTAACACTAAGTGTAAGCCTTATTAGAGAATATGTTTACCTCTTTGTGCTCAAGTTAATTGGTCAGGTATCACCAAGCATAGTTATAATTGTACATGTTTCAGGCAAATAACCTGTTTTAATTTTTCATGTAACTTAAGACGAATGAGTAGTTACAGTTTAATTATTAGTGTCTTCAGTGAATTACAATTCCAAAATAATCCAGTTGCAACCGAAGTACTTTGTAGTGTTGAGTAGGACTGACAATTAAAAATGACTACATGCTTGAGAAGTTCTACAGAAATTAAGAACATTTTGTAAACATTTCAAAATAATTTGAAACTTCAAATTGAAAGCCCAGCCATTAACATAAACATTCAAAGCTGCTGGAAGAATAGTACCAAGCTATGTGATTGTAAATTTGAAGAGAACAACTGGAAACATGTCCAGCAGCTTAATGGTAAATAGTCAAGTACCAAACAAGAAATTAATATTAAGAATGTTATGGAAGATAATTTAGATACTAAAACCACTACCATAAAAGAAAATTATGGATGGAAAAAATGGATACAGATAGTAGCATACTGGCAGCTACTTAAGAAACTACAGGTTCCAAGATTGCCATTATATAGAATGCTGAAAATGAACAATTTCCATAGTACAAAATATATTTGGATTAGCAGGTTTTTCACAGAATGAAAGGTATGTGAATGAATAAGTTCCCACAGTACGAAGAAATACAAGAGACTAGACTGAGCTCATTCTTTAAAAGACCAGCTAGCAAATTTGGCACTCGGGTCACATATTTATCTATAAATCACTACTGTGTAACCATACCCTGTGTAATAGAAGGTGCCTTTTAACATACCAAGTACTGTTCTGTATGATTACAACTATAGTACTTGCAAGTTTACTGCTTACTTCATGACTCACAGAGAAACCAACAGGTTATGATAGAAAGGTATTGTGGGAAGCATATTGACCTCAGCTCAAACTTATTTTTCAGGTCAAAGAAGTGATTAAAAAGTAAGTCGTGTGTAACGATATTCAGCTGCATATCGTATATGCTTATGAAAGGACTAACCCTAATAACTTTAGGATGCTCATTCCAAAGATGTTTTTGGTATTTATTTAATATGAAGCATGAAGACTACCATGACTGAAATTACTACTAAGTGTTTACAATCCATGTGCTAGAATGAATTGATTTCATTAGGATTCCCTTAAATTATGAGGACAGCATCTTGTGACAAAAATGAGCAGATTAAAGAAGCCACAAAGAATAGTTACAATCGGTACTACTCAGTTTGCTCCAGTTTATATATTGAATAAAAACGTTGGTGTTGAAAAGACTTTGCAAAGGAAACGTGAGAGATTTTACAGGGTTGAATGTCATCAATCTATAACAAGTAATGCTAAGTCTATAAGCTATGTCATGAAAGGAAAAACAACATGGACAATTAAAGGAATAAAATGTTGTTGCACTGTTTGAAATAACAGCTGTTTGTGTCGTAAATCTTTTTATCACAGTAAAATTATGGAAACAAATACATTGTAGTGATATACTGTTTTGGAAAGTGGCCCAAAGAATACATTGCACCATCTCTAGAAAGAGAAACTGGCATATTAGCTAGTTAATGAGTTTTCATTGAGATTTAAAATACCATGTTAATATTCATTTTAATATGGAAAAAACTTTGAATATACTGTTTTGTAAAAGATGAAAAACCTTGAGTACAAAGGAATCAACAAAGCTAGAACTAGAGACCTCCATGGTTCTACAGATGAGATGCTAAAATCGTATAACTATGCAGACTTAAACCAGGAAGCTGTGTATTTAGGCAATAGACAAAAAATTTAGTATTAAGACCTTCTGCTTCTATTGATGAGCTGCAGAACTGAAGAAGCTATTTGATATACTGTATGATTGCTCAGAAAATAACCATTAGCTCCGTTTCATAATTTCCCTTGGAAAAATGACAGAATAACAAAAGCAAAATGAAGGGGTTATAATAATGCTGCTGACAAGTTTGAGCTCTAATGTGGTGAACTTGTGTGTTTGTACAACCTGAAAAGAAAGAAAGGAATATCTTAGAAGATGAGTCAGCACTCAGAAGGTGTATATGCTTATGTGCAGTAGTAATAAAATCAACGATATGACCGAATGTTCTTCAAAGGGCAGCTGTGTGTACCAGAGGTTGTTTATGAAAACCATTTAAAGGATTACTGAAGTGTGAGAACATCTTATTGATGTAATACATTTGCTTCTCGTACCTTTATTTTGTGCTTTGTTTTTCTTTGTGTATTTCTGTGATATGAATATTTGTTCTTTGGTCATCGCCCCCCATTGGCATAGTGGTATGTCTGCGGACTTACAACGCTAGAAACCGGGTTTCGATACTCATGGTGGGCAGAGCACAGATAGCCCATTGTGTAGCTTTGTGCTTAATTACAAACAATCGTTGTTCATCATAAATGTATATTATACATTTGGCAATTAAGAGTCATGCTGTATTAGGCTAGAATTTTTTTTCAAACGTAAAGATAAGGCATGTGATGTTATTTAGGAGTTTTTAAGGGATTTTAACTTGCCACTTAATAACATATGGTAATTTAGGTATGTAAATAATACTGTGGCATTGTGCCAAATTTATTATTTGGTATTATACAGTGGACAAAATGTTTGTTTATGATATTACAGATTTCTTTTCTTTTGACCAGTGGTCCCAGATACTATGTGTTGTTGGTGAGTTAGACTTGCAATCAAGCCAAGAGTAAGCTTTAAAAGAGATTGTTTACTTTTGTGTAACTAAGTTTTATAACCAAATGAAATTAGGCTTTATTGGAACAGGAACTGTTTTGAAACAATTTTTATTGGTTTCTTAAAATAAACGAGGAAAATGTAACATTTTATTTACTTGTATTTGTCAAATAAAGTAAAAAGTTATTTTTAATAAGTGTGTGAGACATCCATCAATATCAAAAGAATCTAGTTGGAAGTTTGGAACATAACAATATGAAAATATGTTAATAGTGTATGTGTTAACTGTGTTTCTGACATAGATAATATTTATTTGAAGTATGTTATCAACAAATTGTACAGGTATGGCTATATAGATCAAGATGATGATATACGAGAGCACAGACCAGTAGCACCTAAAACTGTGAGTAGAAGATTTCATCTTCACCATTCATATATAATCAATGACAAAAAGGACATGGATGTTTTTATTCTTTAAAATCTGTTTTCCTAACTTATAAGTTTAATGGTGCAAAATATATTCATCTAATGTAGATGAGTTAGTATAACAGAAACTTATATGAATGTAGTTAGTTTTAATAGCACAAATAACAATCACCTAAACCCCTACTAATTGGTTATTTCTGATACTATGAATGAAGATGTAATCACAGAGTTATTGTGACTAACTTACAGGTATAATTAGAAACAATACTTATCAGCTGAATGTTTTCGTTCACAAAGATTCTAATTCATGTTAACTATTCACATCTTAGATTATGTTCTCTCTCACCTACAGTTTTTACATTTTTATTTTAAATATATGTTACTACTTCAGAGAAACAGTTTTTAAACCAAGTTAATGTACTGTACATAATCACAATTTTAACAAATTAGTATCATGTTATTTGGCTATAACGTGGTTTGAGCCACTCAAAACTTAATCTCTTATAAGCTCAAATGATTATCTACATTATAACATTTCTAAGTTAAAATATGATTTATATCAACATCAGGAGCCCAAAAAGTTGATTCGCTACCGTGACAACAAGATAGTCAGCATCAAAGGAGAGAGATATTCCGATATAAAAAAAGAAGAACCTGATGAAGTGAAACCAGCACGTCAACATCGATTTCAGTAGGTTTTTAGTATGGAAGACATGTAACAGCAGAGCAACAAGTTTGTCTTATTTTGCCAGTCGAGTTTAAAAAACATTGTTGTCCTTGGCATTAGACCAACAAGATAAATTGCATTATTACTGTATTTTGAGTCTTGTGACAAAAACATACAGTAACTTAGTTTCTTAATAAGCAGAGGTCAGTTGGAAAAATTCAGGATTATACAGTGTGTTTTCACTTTGGTTTTATATATATCAAAGCCTTTTGACATCTATAATCATTTCATCCTAGCTTGTGAATTGGCTAACAGAATATTTGTAGCCAGTAAACTGACTTATGTATTTTGTTTACATTTGATTCAGTTTTGCAATTTTTGTGATATAATGGTAATATGTTTCAGCTGTTTTTCAGATTAGCTTTCTTTAAATCTCTGCATACACATTAGGTTGTAAAATCTACAAAACTTGTTTGTTTCCATTCATCAACTAATCATGTATTATTGAATAATACTTAGTTTTCATAAACATAATTAATCATTTTTAAATTTGAATTGAAAGCTTCCAAATATAACTTTTTTCACAGATAAGCATGAAAATTGCTCAAATCATTTCACTTGATTTTAATGTCAGCAAATTTATATTTTATGGTTCCAAACCTAATTACTTAAGTGGAAAGCATTAGAGTTTCTGCACTATAGTCTCATTAGCTTTGAATGTTCTCAACCAGTCATGAGAACTTGTGTTATATAAATTGTTTGTAAAAAATACTTCAGACTTAATCTATTTCAGTTAATCTTGTATCTAAACAATTTAAAGGTTTTTGAACTATTATGAATTTAAACTATAATTTTTATTCCTTTTTTTGTTGTTGTTGTAAATCACATAGTAAACCCTGTTCTTAATGATTTGTGATTCACACATCCACCACAAAGTTTTCAGAAGGTAAAATAACCTTCTTGTTTACTAACTTCTCTGTAGCCTCTACTGTGTTGAATAAAATATCTAGATTTAACAGGCTTTTTTATTTAACCATAAGATTCCAGTCTTCACAAGATGATGGGTAGACTTAAATTGAGGTTAGAAAAAACTAGTATATGGTAAACAGCCTGTTAAATTTGTCTATTTCCTTGAAATCTGCTCACATACAACAATGTTTCTGAAGCAACAGCATATTGAAAAAGTAATATGCCTATGTACATTTAGCACCATAAGATTTACTTGAATACTAGCATTTTCTTTTACTCCAAACATTCTTTAATTATTATAAATATGCAGTAAAACATCCTTCTCAAGCTATAACATGTTATGCTTAGCAGATAACCTGCAATATTGACAATTGTACAGTTGGTTTTATAGCAAGAGTTTACATTAATTTAACAAACGTTTTCACAGTCTTAGAAATTATGTTTAAAGAATGTATTGTCAAGTTCTAACAAGCTTATGTACATTTAACTAAACTACAACATGCAACATTCTGGTTGAAAGACACCATCCAAGAACATTTGATTGGAAAAGTGTATTAAATTGTATTTTAGAATTTTGTTTCTGTGATTATCAGACTTTAAACTTGATGCTCATCTTTGTAATAAGAATTGGTGGCACTTGTTGATTGAAAGAAGCTGAAAATTTTGTTTGTACAAATTGTAACTATAAGTATATTTTATTTTTCATATAATGCCATTATTTATCAGTTCATGTGGTGATAGTAACTTTAGTACATTAGTATAGAACATTGCAACGTACATGTATCCAAAATACATATAAGGAGAGCTACTTTTATCATCAGAAGTAAAAGCAGTTGCATATCAGTGCAAAGCAGGTGTATTTCAGTTCCACAACAAAGTGTGTTTTTAATTACCACTTTATCCAGTACTGGTTATCTCGAATTTAAACAAGGTATGTGTAGGACATGATTATGAAGAGATGCCAGTCACAGTAGTTCTATAGAAAATTATGGCTAGCTTACATGAGCAACTAGAGAGTTTAAGACTATTCATTACCATCAGGTGTGTTATAATTTATATTACATATGTTAAGTGTAAAACTTTATATACTGTAAAACACTTTCAAATTGAATGTGGATATTTAGTGTGTAAAAAATAATATGTAATAGCCAAATTTCAAATTTTTTAATATTTGGTTACAATTTACGGCTTTGTTAAATATTATAGAAGAAGGGCAGTACACACATGTACATCTTATTTTAGACTTAACAATTATGTATATCGACAAAATATCCTTTTGTCTCAGTTATGTACTGGTACTGTTATATGTTAGATGATGTATTACATAGTTAGCTCTATAAATATGCATATATATCAAGGCCTAGAAATTACATTAGGATAACTATAGTTGTTAACAAATAGTTTAACCTTAATTTCTATCCCTTGTATTTTAATAGCAGTTTAAAATGTTTAGTTAGGATGTACATTTCAAATTATGTTATATACAATTGTGAACTGTATCACTTTTACAGGTCTTCTACAAGTAATTGAAGGTTAACGAATGAAAAGCTTTAGTTATTGAAATTGTAGTCTTAGGATCTTCATTATGTTTACTTGTAATTATGTTGTGTATTATATTTTTTCTTATTGTAAATTATCATTTTCCATTTATTTTTCTTTAGTATTTTAACTCATTTATACTTCTTTATGTCACTGAAATTTTCAAAAAATGTCTACATGTATTTGTTGTACAGACAAAAATGGTATTTCGTCTGCTATAAATTTTTTTCTCTTGTATTTATTTATTTACATATGTCTAGATATTCTTAAATGTTTTTTGTTTTTTTTTCTATTTATAGAAGTATTTTGTACATAAAAGAAATGATTTTTAGTACAATTGAAATTGTATGAAAAGTAATGTTAACGTGTATTTAACTGTGAATCCTTACTGGACTTGAAAATTGTCTGTTCTTTTTAAATTGCATAGATTCCCAAACAATTAGAATATAAACAATTTTGCATTTAATGGTCAGAGATCTATTCTTTAGTAGGAAGCTAGTTAAAAACATTTGGCAAGTGCACTTTAAAAAGGTAAAAAAAAATACTGTTTAAAAAAAAAGTACACAGAATGTTTGTAAAACATTTTATCTGTGTTGTACTTTTTATATTTGATATAACTTCTTATTCATATCTATTTGTAATTATTATGTTTAATGAAAATAGCCAGAAACTAATTATTTACAATTGAATCATAAAAGGTATAAAATTTTCCAGTTTCAAAATTTAATTCTGTGTTTAAACTTACTAAAGCCCCATATTATAGCATTACATAAGAATCATTTGAAATGTGAATGGAAATCAAAAAGATTGACACACCACGTCAAAATATATACAACAAAGGTGGATTATACAAAGTAAATGAAGAAATTGAAAATACATTCCCAAACAAGTATTATGTCGGCTTAATTATGAAAACATTAAGCATATGAAATTGAAAAGTAAAGAAACTTGAAAAATCTACAAAAGTTTTTAAACATTAATTTATATTCTGCTTTTTAAATTTTGACTTCATGTGTCAAGCCATTATTTTTAGCTCTGTTAAACTTCCTTCATAGTTCACCGTACTTAATAAAGTTATTTCTTTTAGTGCACAATGTAAAAACATGCACTTTTATGTTGTAAATAATCTACAGTTTCCTCATTGAATCTTTTAAGAACAATTTTTACTGTGTTTAAAAGGTTTGTAGTTTCAAACATCTGATTTTTAGTCTACATGTATTTATTGTATTTGACATTAAATGTTTTCCATTCATGATGCACTTGTTTTGGGTTTTTTACTCTTGAAAATATATTTATGAAATTAAACTTAAATAGTAAACTATACAAGATAATGCCAAAACCATAAAATGAGAAGTTATGAGCAGTTATGTATCAAATATAATACCTTATCAAGCACTTGTAAATTAAATTAATGTGCATCATATACTCACATTCAATCTTTCTTTCTGTAGTGTAATCTTTTTTTTACTTCTTTGATACCTGTAAAGGACATTCATAAAACTTAATCTGAATTTCAACAGCATCTTAAAATATATATAAATATAATCCAAAGCATCATATTGTTACAATATTTAACCTTATAAGCTCTCTTAATGAATCCGTCAGTAAGTGTATAAAGTGTGGTACAGTGGTGTAGTAGCAATAATGATTGCCAACTTGCAGTACTATACTGCTCATCCAAACATATGAGAAATCAAAACATGATAGTTTGAGGTGCTGTTTGTTCTCCCCTCCACGTGGATTCCTGTACGTGGTGAGGGGACCTCCCAGGGAAGGTTCTGTATTTACAGTTACTTTCTCTGGGATCTAAACATCCACCCACATGTTTGCCGTGCGTTGCGACCCGTGAAGGAGAGGAGAGGATCCTGGTGGTTGAGTGGTGTCTGGGCACTGCAACACACCACTTTGGCCTTGAATTCCTGTAGACGGGTGGCCTTGGGGTGGCCCCCCCTAAGGTCAATCGGCTGGTCCACTGGGGCTAGGGTCAACTGAGTACCAGTGTTGGGCGTTCTCAACGGGTGTTGTGGACATTGTGTCTGATACTGGTGTTTGGGTATAGTGCTCACAAAACCCTGGCGTTGCTGCAGTGTCCTTGTTTGA